TTATATATATATATATATATATATATATATATATATATATATATATATATATATATATATATATATATATATATATATATATATCGTACCTAGTAGCCAGAACGCACTTCTCAGCCTACTATGCAAGGCCCGATTTGCCTAATAAACCAAGTTTTCATGAATTAATTGTTTTTCGACTACTAACCTAACTTTTTCGGCCACCTAACCTAACCTAACCTATTAAGATAGGTTAGGTTAGGTAGGGTTGGTTAGGTTCGGTCATATATCTACGTTAATTTTTACTCCAATAAAAAAAAATTGACCTCATACATAATGAAATGGGTAGCTTTATCATTTCTTCAGAAAAAATTACAGAAAATATATTAATTCATGAAAACTTGGCTTATTAGGCAAATCGGGCCTTGCATAGTAGGCTGAGAAGTGCGTTTTGGATACTAGGTACGACATATATATATATATATATATATTATATATATATATATATATATATACACACATTTACCATCGAAACCTTGCAAGAAGAAGAGAGACGTGACAACATCCATCAGTCACCCGGTGAGCTGTCCCTTACACTCACATGTTCCAGAGATTATTTGTTGAAAATCAAAAATAGAACTAGATATCGTACAGACACGAAGTTATATATAACGTGGGCAGGAAGTACAAGTGAATTATTTAACAAAATTTAATAACATGTTTCATTCAACGAGACAAAACTGCAGCAAGCAGTCAACGCAAGAGACAGTCAACACAAGAGACGGTCAACACGTGAAACAGTCAACACAAGAGACAGTCAACACGTGAAACAGTCAACACAAGAGACAGTCAACACAAGAGACGGTCAACACAAGAGACGGTCAACACAAGAGACAGTCAACATGTGAAACAGTCAACACAAGAGACAGTCAACACGTGAAACAGTCAACACAAGAGACGGTCAACACAAGAGACGGTCAACACGTGAAACAGTCAATACAAGAGACGGTCAACACAAGAGACGGTCAACACAAGAGACGGTCAACACGTGAAACAGTCAACACAAGAGACAGTCAACACGTGAGACAGTCAACACAAGAGACGGTCAACACAAGAGACGGTCAACACAAGAGACGGTCAACACAAGAGAAAGTTAACACGTGAAACAGTCAACACAAGAGACAGTCAACACGTGAAACAGTCAACACAAGAGACGGTCAACACAAGAGACAGTCAACACGTGAAACAGTCAACACAAGAGACGGTCAACACAAGAGACAGTCAACACGTGAAACAGTCAACACAACAGACAGTCATACAAGAGGCAGTCAACACGTGAAACAGTCAACACAAGACAGTCAATACAAGAGACAGTCACACGTGAAACAGTCAACACAAGAGACAGTCAATACAAGAGACAGTCAACAAGTGAAACAGTCAACACAAGAGACAGTCAATACAAGAGGCAGTCAACACGTGAAACAGTCGACACAAGAGACAGTCAATACAAGAGACAGTCAACACGTGAAACAGTCAACACAAGAGACAGTCAATACAAGAGACAGTCAACACGTGAAACAGTCAACACAAGAGACAGTCAATACAAGAGACAGTCAACACGTGAAACAGTCAACACAAGAGACAGTCAATACAAGAGACAGTCAACACATGAATCAGTCAACACAAGAGACAGTCAATACAAGAGGCAGTCAACACGTGAAACAGTCGACACAAGAGACAGTCAATACAAGAGACAGTCAACACGTGAAACAGTCAACACAAGAGACAGTCAACACAAGAGACAGTCAACACGTGAAACAGTCAACACAAGAGACAGTCAACACAAGAGACAGTCAACACGTGAAACAGTCAACACAAGAGACAGTCAATACAAGAGACAGTCAACACGTGAAACAGTCAACACAAGAGACAGTCAATACAAGAGACAGTCAACACATGAATCAGTCAATACAAGAGACAGTCAATACAAGAGACAGTCAACACGTTGAATCAGTAAGCACAAGAGACGGCCAACACACCAGACATTGTTGCACTCACAGAGACAAAACTTGAAGATGTTATTTTAAATGAGGTCATATTCCCAAGGGGCTACTCAATATGGAGACGGGACAGAAAAATCAGGAAAGGCGGTGGCGTTGCTGTGCTGGTGAAAGAACACCTAAAGGTGAACGAAATAGTGACTGCCAATCCACAAGAAGTTGACATAATAGCACTAGAGATCTGCCATGAGGATGATAAACTAACGATCATAAATGCATATAGTCCACCGCCAAGCAGCACATGCTCATAGGAGGAGCTAGATAGTAAACGAGAAGGTTTTAAAACAATAATGAGAGAGATCATAGCGAGAGCGGATAACGATAGATCACGACTGTTGATAGTCGATATCCATAGACTGGGAAGCATATGACGCTAAAACAGAAGATTTTTAGACCTGTAAATTTGTAGACCTCATCCTGGAAACATTCTTGTATCGACATGTTAAACAAGCTACGAGGATGAGGGAAGGGGACGTTCCCTCCATGCTAGATTTGATATTTACCAGGAAGGAGGAAGAAATATTTGACATTCAGTACCTTCCTCCCTTGGGTAAAAGTGACCATGTCTTTTTGGGAATAAAGTATGCAATGTGTTATAATCTGGAAGAAAATAAGGAGGTTAATGCAATTGAAAAACCTGACTTTAGGAGAGGACATTATGGCAACCTTAGACATTTTTTTAGTGAGTATAATTGGACAGGCTTGTTGCTAGGCAAGGAAGTGAATGAGATGTATGTCAGGTTTTGTGAAATATATGATAAAGGCACAAAACAATTTATACCAAAACAGAGATGCAGAACTAGGAAACAGGATTGGTTCAACAGACAGTGCGAGAGGGCCAGAGACCAAAAGACACAAAAATGGAATCAATACAGGAAGAGGCCGAACCCCCAAACATACCAGCGATACAAAGATATGAGAAACACTACACGGCAGTGAGGAGAGAGGCAGAAGGAAATTTTGAAAAAGGGATTGCAGATAAATGTAAAACAGAACCGGGCCTATTCTATAAATTCATAAACAACAAATTGCAGGCAAAGGATAATATTCAGAGGTTGAAAATGGGAAATAGGTTTACGGAAAATGAAAAGGAAATGTGTGAAACATTAAACGAAAAGTTCCAAAGTGTGTTTGTACAAAATGAAATCTTAAGGGAACCAGACATAATAAGAATTCCAGAGAACAACATAGAGCACATAGAGGTGTCTAGAAATGAAGTGGAAAAAATGCTCAAGGAGCTCAGTAAGAACAAAGCAGTTGGTCCAGATGGAGTTTCACCATGGGTTCTGACAGAATGTGCACCTGAGCTCAGCATTCCACTTCAACTGATTTTTCAGGCATCCCTATGTACAGAAGTTGTAGCTGATGTGTGGAAAAAGGCTAACATAGTTCCAATCTACAAAAGTGGCAGCAGGGAAGACCCCCTTAATTATAGACCTGTATCATTGACAAGTGTAATAGTCAAAATATTGGAAAAAATAATTAAAACGAAATGGGTAGAACACCTGGAGAGAAATTATATAATATCAGACAGACAGTATGGTTTTCGATCTGGAAGATCCTGTGTATCGAATTTACTCAGTTTCTATGATCGAGCAACAGAGAGATTCCAGGAAAGAGATGGTTGGGTTAACTGCATCTATCTGAACCTAAGAAAAGGCTTTCGACACAGTTCCACATAAGAGATTGTTCTGGAAACTGGTAAATATTGGAGGGTGACAGGTAAGCTTCTAACATGGATGAAAAATTTTCTGACTGATAGAAAAATGAGGGCAGTAATCCGAGGCAATGTATCTGACTGGAGAAATATCACAAGTGGAGTACCACAGGGTTCAGTTCTTGCGCCAGTGATGTTTATTGTCTACATAAATGATCTACCAGTTGGTATAGAGAATTATATGAACATGTTTGCTGATGATGCTAAGATAATAGGAAGGATAAGAAACTTAGATGATTGTCATGCCCTTCAAGATGACCTGGACAAAATAAGTATATGGAGCACCACTTGGCAAATGGAATTTAATGTTAATAAATGCCATGTTATGGAATGTGGAATAGGAGAACATAGACCCCACACAACCTATATATTATGTGAGAAATCTTAAAAGAACTCTGATAAAGAAAGAGATCTAGGGGTGGTTCTAGATAGAAAACTCTCACCTGAGGACCACATAAAGAACGTTGTGCGAGGAGCCTATGCCACTTTTTCTAACTTCAGAATTGCTTTTAAATACATGGATGGCGATATACTAAAGAAATTGTTCACGACTTTTGTTAGGCCAAAGCTAGAATATGCAGCGGTTGTGTGGTGCCCATATCTTAAGAAGCACATCAACAAACTGGAAAAGGTGCAAAGACATTCTACTAAGTGGCTCCCAGAACTGAAGGGCAAGAGCTACGAGGAGAGGTTAGAGACATTAAATATGCCAAAACTTAAAGATAGAAGATAAAGAGGTGATATGATCACTACATACAAAATAGTAACAGGAATTGATAAAATCGATAGGGAAGATTTCCAGAGACCTGGAACTTTAAGAACAAGAGGTCATAGATATAAACTAGCTAAACACAGACACCGAAGAAATATAAGAAAATTCACTTTCGCAAACAGAGTGGTAGACGGTTGGAACAAGTTAGGGGAGAAGGTGGTGGAGGCCAAGACCGTCAGTAGTTTCAAAGCGTTATATGACAAAGAGTGCTGGGAAGACGGGACACCACGAGCGTAGCTCTCATCCTGTGACTACACTTAGGTAATTACACAAGAGACAGTCAACGCAAGAGACGGTCAACGCAAGAGACGGTCAACGCAAGAGACAGTCAACACCCGAGACGGTCAACACAAGAGACGGTCAACACAAGAGACGGTCAACACAAGAGACGGTCAACGCAAGAGACGGTCAACACAAGAGACGGTCAACGCAAGAGACGGTCAACGCAAGAGACGGTCAACACAAGAGACGGTCAACGCAAGAGACGGTCAACGCAAGAGACAGTCAACACACGAGACGGTCAACACAAGAGACGGTCAACACAAGAGACGGTCAACACACGAGACGGTCAACACACGAGACGGTCAACACAAGAGACGGTCAACACACGAGACGGTCAACACACGAGACGGTCAACACACGAGACGGTCAACACAAGAGACGGTCAACACACGAGACGGTCACACACGAGACGGTCAACACAAGAGACGGTCAACGCAAGAGACGGTCAACACACGAGACGGTCAACACAAGAGACGGTCAACGCAAGAGACGGTCAACGCAAGAGACGGTCAACACAAGAGACGGTCAACGCAAGAGACGGTCAACACAAGAGACGGTCAACACACGAGACGGTCAACACAAGAGACGGTCAACACAAGAGACGGTCAACACACGAGACGGTCAACACAAGAGACGGTCAACACAAGAGACGGTCAACACAAGAGACGGTCAACACAAGAGACGGTCAACACAAGAGACGGTCAACACAAGAGACGGTCAACGCAAGAGACGGTCAACGCAAGAGACGGTCAACGCAAGAGACAGTCAACACAAGAGACGGTCAACGCAAGAGACGGTCAACACAAGAGACGGTCAACGCAAGAGACGGTCAACGCAAGAGACGGTCAACACAAGAGACGGTCAACGCAAGAGACAGTCAACACAAGAGACGGTCAACACAAGAGACGGTCAACGCAAGAGACAGTCAACACAAGAGACGGTCAACACACGAGACGGTCAACACAAGAGACGGTCAAGTACTCTAAACGCTCACTATCCTCCTGGGAATAACAAATACCACAAACTGAGGTTTAAAATATAAAATAAAATAATAGCGTCGTTCGTCCTGCGATCAGATGAGCCATCCGGTGAGGTACACTCTCAAGGAGTACTCTGAGGGTATACTCTAGAGTAATACTCTACAGTAAGACCGTCGTGGGGTGCAGTGTTGTGGTGAGGTGTCGTAGGTTGAGGTGTTGAAGGGGTAGTGGTGAGTGTACCTCTCATGTTAAGCCCATTAGGTGTATCGTGTTTGGAGTGGGAGCTGAGTGCTGTGTCAACCCATACTGACACCTCATCGATCTGTTATCGCATAGGGGGGCCCCTTGTCGTGCCTCTCCACCCTCTCCCAAGGTCGTACTGAGTGCCCCCTTTGTCTTGTTTGTCCGCCTTAGTCCAAGGTCGTACTGAGAGAGTCTTGTCTTCTGGTCCTGGCTCTCTGAAGGTCGTACTGAGAGCCCCCATACATTGTTTGGCCGCCTTAGTCCAAGGTCGTACTGAGAGAGTCTTGTCTTCTGGTCCTGGCTCTCTGAAGGTCGTACTGAGAGCCCCCATACATTGTTTGTCCGCCTTAGTCCAAGGTCGTACTGAGAGAGTCTTGTCTTCTGGTCCTGGCTCTCTGAAGGTCGTACTGAGAGCCCCCAAACATGTTTGTCCGCCTTAGTCCAAGGTCGTACTGAGAGAGTCTTGTCTTCTGGTCCTGGCTCTCTGAAGGTCGTACTGAGAGCCCCCATACATTGTTTGTCCGCCTTAGTCCAAAGTCGTACTGAGAGAGTCTTGTCTTCTGGTCCTGGCTCTCTGAAGGTCGTACTGAGAGCCCCATACATTGTTTGTCCGCCTTAGTCCAAGGTCGTACGTAGAGCATCTTGTCTTCTGGTCCTGGCTCTCAAAAGGTCGTACTGAGAGCCCCCATACATTGTTTGGCCGCCTTAGTCCAAGGTCGTACTGAGAGCATCTTGTCTTCTGGTCCTGGCTCTCAAAAGGTCGTACTGAGAGCCCCCATACATTGTTTGTCCGCCTTAGTCCAAGGTCGTACTGAGAGAGTCTTGTCTTCTGGTCCTGGCTCTCTGAAGGTCGTACTGAGAGCCCCCATACATTGTTTGTCCGCCTTAGTCCAAGGTCGTACGTAGAGCATCTTGTCTTCTGGTCCTGGCTCTCAAAAGGTCGTACTGAGAGCCCCCATACATTGTTTGTCCGCCTTAGTCCAAGGTCGTACTGAGAGAGTCTTGTCTTCTGGTCCTGGCTCTCTGAAGGTCGTACTGAGAGCCCCCATACATTGTTTGTCCGCCTTAGTCCAAGGTCGTACGTAGAGCATCTTGTCTTCTGGTCCTGGCTCTCAAAAGGTCGTACTGAGTGCCCCCATACATTGTTTGGCTGAGTTGTGGTGCGAGCCGCTAGTCGTGCTTGCCTTGCCTCTCCTTAGGTCGTATTAGAGCCCGCCTTGTCTTGCTTTTCCGTCCTCTCATAAGGTCGTTCTCAGAGCAACTGTTATTGCTAGTCTGCACTTTACCAAGGTCATACACTGCCCGGGTTTAATACATAATTTGATTGAAAATAGTCGAAATGTATAACTTAGTGGCCATAACATACACCACGCCCACCATACACCACGCCCACCATACACCACGCCCACCATACACCACGCCCACCATACACCACGCCCACCATACAGCACGCCCACCATACAGCACGCCCACCATACACCACGCCCACCATACACCACGCCCACCATACACCACGCCCACCATACACCACGCCCACCATACACCACGCCCACCATACACCACGCCCACCATACACCACGCCCACCATACACCACGCCCACCATACACCACGCCCACCATACACCACGCTCACCATACACCACGCCCACCATACACCACGCCCACCATACACCACGCCCACCATACACCACGCCCACCATACACCACGCCCACCATACACCACGCCCACCATACACCACGCCCACCATACACCACGCCCACCATACACCACGCCCACCATACACCACGCCCACCATACACCACGCCCACCATACACCACGCCCACCATACACCACGCCCACCATACACCACGCCCACCATACACCACGCCCACCATACACCACGCTCACCATACACCACGCCCACCATACACCACGCTCACCATACACCACGCCCACCATACACCACGCAACCACGCCCACCATACAACCATACACCACGCCCATACACCACGCCCACCATACACCACGCCCACCATACACCACGCTCACCATACACCACGCCCACCATACACCACGCCCACCATACACCACGCCCACCATACACCACGCCCACCATACACCACGCCCACCATACACCACGCCCACCATACACCACGCCCACCATACAGCACGCCCACCATACACCACGCCCACCATACACCACGCCCACCATACACCACGCCCACCATACACCACGCCCACCATACAGCACCCCCACCATACAGCACGCCCACCATACAGCACGCCCACCATACACCACGCCCACCATACACCACGCCCACCATACACCACGCCCACCATACACCACGCCCACCATACACCACGCCCACCATACACCACGCCCACCATACACCACGCCCACCATACACCACGCCCACCATACACCACGCCCACCATACACCACGCCCACCATACAGCACCCCCACCATACAGCACGCCCACCATACACCACGCCCACCATACACCACGCCCACCATACAGCACCCCCACCATACACCACGCCCACCATACACCACGCCCACCATACAGCACCCCCACCATACAGCACGCCCACCATACACCACGCCCACCATACACCACGCCCACACTTGGGGCAGCCAGGAGAGGCAGGTTTGTGAATAAGTTATGTTTATTGAACTATAGCATGACTCCCCCCCCCTTGGTTAGCTGACGTCCGCTGCCTCTTTCTCACTCCTCATGCTTCCTCACTCCTCATTCTTTCTCCTCATGCTTCCTCACTCATCATTCTCACTCATCATGCTTCCTCGCTCCTCAATCTCACTCCTCATGCTTCCTCACTCCTCATTCTTTCTCCTCATGCTTCCTCACTCATCATTCTCACTCATCATGCTTCCTCGCTCCTCAATCTCACTCCTCATGCTTCCTCACTCCTCATGCTTCCTCGCTCCTCAATCTCACTCCTCATGCTTCCTCACTCCTCATGCTTACTCACTCCTCATGCTTCCTCACTCATCATTCTCACTCCTCATGCTTCCTCACTCATCATTCTCACTTCTCATGCTTCCTCACTCATCATTCTCACTCCTCATGCTTCCTCACTCATCATTCTCACTCCTCATGCTTCCTCACTCATCATTCTCACTCCTCATGCTTCCTCACTCATCATTCTCACTCCTCATGCTTCCTCACTCATCATGGTTCCTCACTCATCATTCCCACTCCTCATGCTTCCTCACTCCTCATGCTTACTCCTCATGCTTCCTCACTCACCATTCTCACTCCTCATGCTTCCTCACTCATCATGCTTCCTCACTCATCATTCTCACTCCTCATGCTTCCTCACTCATCATTCTCACTCCTCATGCTTCCTCACTCATCATTCTCACTCCTCATGCTTCCTCACTCATCATGGTTCCTCACTCATCATTCTCACTCCTCATGCTTCCTCACTCATCATGCTTCCTCGCTCATCATGCTTCCTCACTCATCATTCTCACTTCTCATGCTTCCTCACTCATCATTCTCTCTCCTCATGCTTCCTCACTCATCATTCTCACTCCTCATGCTTCCTCACTCATCATTCTCACTCCTCATGCTTCCTCACTCATCATGGTTCCTCACTCATCATTCTCACTCCTCATGCTTCCTCACTCATCATGCTTCCTCGCTCATCATGCTTCCTCACTCATCATTCTCACTTCTCATGCTTCCTCACTCATCATTCTCTCTCCTCATGCTTCCTCACTCATCATTCTCACTCATGCTTCCTCACTCATCATTCTCACTCATCATGCTTCCTCACTCATCATGCTTCTCGCTCATCATGCTTCCTCACTCATCATTCTCACTTCTCATGCTTCCTCACTCATCATTCTCTCTCCTCATGCTTCCTCACTCATCATTCTCTCTCCTCATGCTTCCTCACTCATCATTCTCACTCCTCATGCTTCCTCACTCATCATTCTCACTCCTCATGCTTCCTCACTCATCATTCTCACTCCTCATGCTTCCTCACTCATCATTCTCACTCCTCATGCTTCCTCACTCATCATTCTCACTCCTCATGCTTCCTCACTCACCATTCTCACTCCTCATGCTTCCTCACTCACCATTCTCACTCCTCATGCTTCCTCACTCATCATTCTCACTCATGCTTCCTCACTCATCATTCTCACTCCTCATGCTTCCTCACTCATCATTCTCACTCCTCATGCTTCCTCACTCATCATTCTCACTACTCATGCTTCCTCACTCATCATGGTCCCTCACTCTCATGGTTCCTCACTCATCATTCCCACTCCTCATGCTTCCTCACTCATCATTCTCACTCATGCTTCCTCACTCATCATGGTTCCTCACTCATCATTCTCACTCTCATGCTTCCTCACTCATCATTCTCACTCCTCATGCTTCCTCACTCATCATTCTCACTCCTCATGCTTCTCACTCATCATGGTTCCTTACTCATCATTCTCACTCCTCATGCTTCCTCACTCATCATTCTCACTCCTCATGCTTCCTCACTCATCATTCTCACTCCTCATGCTTCCTCACTCATCATGCTTCCTCACTCATCATTCTCACTTCTCATGCTTCCTCACTCATCATTCTCACTCCTCATGCTTCCTCACTCATCATTCTCACTCCTCATGCTTCCTCACTCATCATTCTCACTCCTCATGCTTCCTCACTCATCATTCTCACTCCTCATGCTTCCTCACTCATCATGCTTTCTCACTCCTCATGCTTCCTCACTCCTCATGCTTCCTCACTCATCATTCTCACTCCTCATGCTTCCTCACTCATCATTCTCACTCCTCATGCTTCCTCACTCATCA